GTTGATAGCAACATCCCTTGCCCTGTCTTCTGATACTGAACGAAGACACATTGTTGCCGTTGTGCTCCTTCAGAGCATCATGTCCTTATCAGTACTTCCACTGTTCCTAGCTTGGGTTTCCAGGTATCAGGTTCGGAGTTTATTGATACGCTAGTTCGTGATGCTTCGCATCATGCTACATCATGGCAGGCTTTTATTTATACACTAGCAATGTTCCCACGGATGCAGTCAGACCCTTGGCCTATAAAATATACAGACAGTATGCACTCATTGTGACGCTTCTCACAGCAGTGTGGCCACTGCTGCTACTCATTCTTCTGGGTATCACCCTGGCGACGTGTATGACTACACAGCAATACATCAAATCCACAGCGCGTGTGTGTGTATACATATATCTGTATGCACAAACACATGATTGTGGGAGTACGTCACGTTCGTGTTGCAAGAGCAGCCGTGGTTGCAGAAAGTGTCGATCTGCAGACGCCGACACGCACTCTAAAGTTAGTATGCACAGGTTTGTCGGTGCGTGCACGTATGCAGTCTATATATAATGTATGTATTTAGTCTTTGCATGACAACGCAGGCATGAGGTGGCATGAGGATGTTTCGCCACACTGATACGTAGTATACCAAAACGTATTGAACACACTGCTGTATACAGGTGCATAGACATGCATACCGATGTATGGCAATATCGAGAACACTATGATAGCCCCGTGCTGTTAAGTTTAGTCTTGACATGTCCGTGTTCGGTTTGGATGTTTTTCCGTCGAGTTCACGATAGGAAGAAAATAAAACGATAACAAAACGATAACGCATATTTTTCGTAGTGAAACGATAAGAAGAAAATAAAACGATAACAACACAGGGATAAGGATATTTGTTACGGGGTTATTTTCCAGCCCCTGAGACTGTACAAAACTTGCCATGGGGTGCGGCCGCGTGCAGTAATGTGGAATAACCAAACGGAATCTGGGGCAACATTTGTTTGCATTTTTGGCGATGTGTGGATGTATAATATATATATATATATATCCACATATAATTACGTTCTCATATACACATATTTACATGCATATAACGGTCTGAACTCATGTGGAACAGAACGTGGGGTTGGGTCGAATGCAACAAGGTGTTGCAGAGCGGATAGCTTATGGCAGTGGCCTGGATAGCTTCGTGCATCGCCAACACAGCCATCGCAGTAAGTAAGGACAAAGGTTCCAGACAATAACATGTCATGTCGTATCCCATACAACAGCGCTGACATATATAGTTGCAGCTATGTTTTCCGAGGAGGCTGCTATTAAGGTACCAATCCCAACGAGCAGCGTACACTGTTGGGAATTGTTGGTGGTAGCAGTACAACCAGTGGCCGTAGGAGGAGGAGGAGGAGGAGGCGGCAGCAACATCAACAGTAGTTGTTATCGTCGTGTTGTTGTTGTTGTTGGTGGTTGTGGTGGTCGTGGTGGTGGTATAGGAGCAAGAGCAGGACGAAGATAACTCCACGTTGTCCCGTATAGTATGATCCCACTTTTCAAAACTGTACTTAAGGATTTTCCGAACCGCAGCATAGTCTACAATGAAGGATCGACTTTAAAACAGTGTAATCATATCATGACTTGTGTCCTGAACGGAACCGCACATAGTGCAATACGAGAGCACAGGTCAATACAGCAACGGAGAAAGTCTCATGCCAACACATGTATGTAGAATGTTACAAGCTGCGGCACAATGTCATGCAACGCAATGCCCTCAAAAGTAGAGCTCGCAGCTTCTTGAGTCTGTCCTGATGGCAGCAGGGTAACCAAATTTCTCGAATGCTTTGTTCAAGAGATAAGGGCAGTTGAAAGTTAGTCAAGGGTCAGACCTGTGCCTTAGAATCTCATACTTTGCGTCGGAGGGCGTCTTCGAGACAGTTTGCGTGGTCTACAGCGGCGCCTTCTTTCATTGGCAACCTGTGCTCGAAGTGAGGACATGCTTGGCATAAGGACCCATGGTGTGAGGTCAACTTTGCAAGCGAAAGTGCTGCTGCTTCTTGCCCAAGGTTGAATTCTTCCTACAACATGTGCCAGCTTCCATGCAGCCAAGGTACTGGCGCTGGCGAACACAGAAGAGAAGTATTCGTGACACGGAGCTGACTTTCAAAGAGGCCGGGATGGTTTCGATGGTTTGGGTTCAGGGGATGGATGCTGGTATGGAACAGGGGGGAGTCGTAATAAACCAGACGGAGGAAAGATATCGCCAGAGCTGGCAGAGGTTTGTTTAGAAGGGCGCATGAGAAGGCAGTCTGGTGGACATTGGAGCAAGTTCGTGACTCTCAAGTTTCTGAGTAAGGGCTCCAGCCAATGCTGCAACGCATGTTCCGAGCCAGTTGATGCTTCCTTGTTGCGCAGGGCCTTACCTTCGCATTTTCTCGAACACCTTGAAGAGGTTCGAGCGCTGCTGGAACGTCGACCTGCGAAACTCATAGACATGCCATGGGCTCAGCACCTCTGGAAGTGCTGCAGTAGTCGCATAGCAGCATGTTCGGGAAGTACATGCTTCGCTCAGACCAGCCCTGATGTCTGCTTCCCGCTGACTAGCGGATGAATGCTGCAAGTGGTGTTTGCGACAGAGGCTTCAGGAGGGCATGCTGGAGAATAAAGCCAAGACCGACCCCTCGCGCCTGGAAGCTTGTCAGTCAAGACTTATCAAGACTTAATACTTTCCATGCTTTCGACATACAAGGCATGAGAAGCGTGTGCAGTCAGCACACCACCCGCAGGGCCTTGTTTGTGAGGGTCTCAGGTTCGCAAGGTTCCTAACAGAGACTTCGTCCCAGGAGTTCACCGACATTGATTTTGGTGGAACCACCGGCAAGGGGAAGGCGCACGGCACCGTCTGATCCCCTAGAGCCCGAGCCCAGGGTAGTTATGGCTAGAATCAGTTCCTGCTATGGCTTGCGATTGTAGCAGCGGCAGGAATTCTAACCGAGACGTGTTCAACTTGTCGGATTCTTCCACTTCGCAGGAGAGCCAAGGAATTCCAGATGGACTTCAGCGCTACCAATACGATGCGCCACGGCAAACTTCATTAGTCACCTCCTCTTCTGCCTCTCCGCTGCCCTTGCAAGGAGTGATGTGGAGCCGCAGATGTGCAAAGGCCAGGATTCGCCACGGTCAAACCACCGGTTGAGCGGTCCTGCAGGTGGCACCATTTCACTGATGCTAATGTACTTCGGATGCAAGGCCCGAACTTGGATTCATGGCAGCTCATGATAGTCTGTGCACAGTGTAGAAGTCTCGTAAGATTGCTTCTTGCCTGATTACCAAGCCGGCTGAAGCACTCCCTTGTAGTGTGCACATCGTGCCGAGCCTCAAAGTTGCATCTACGCTGCCTGCGTAGCAGGCCTGTTACGCACGCTCTGCATCTCAGGGCTTCCGTTTCCTTCAAGTCTTTCAGACCTCTTTGCAAGCTTCCAGCCAGAACAGGCTGTTTGGTGACGGAAGCCAGTGCTGCAGATCCACCAAATTTTCCCACGGAGGTCAAGCATCAGCCTTGTTGAAGCCGTAGCTATGAAAATATACCATAATATACTGTAGTATACCATAATATTCATAATATACTATAGTATACCATAAGGCAGGGCTGTGATCCTCTGTGACCTTTGGTGCCGTCTCGAAAGCACCAGCGACACAAAAGGCGGGCTCGGACACTTCTGTTCATTCGGGTCGGCCCCAGCAAGTGCCTTCCATTCTCACCTCTAGTTCCTGACCATTCCGGGGCCAGCAACTGTTGGCCAAAGCGGATGAGAACGCAGGAGTCCGACGAAAATAGCAGGCATTGTCCTAGTTCAGGCGAGTGCATGCATCCATGCTGTAGAACCTCCACGTCGTGTGCCTGAATATCTGGCAAGATTATCTTCGACATGCCCGACCGTTGGCTTGAGATCAGAGCTGGCCTTCGTTGGTGGCAGGTGTCGCCCCAGAAGTGAAGATCTCTCGCTGTTGCGTGAGGGCCGGCCTTGATGGTGCTTTAGAACAGCTGCCTCCAGCCTGGGCAGTTGTCGAGTGTACATAAACAGCAGTGGCTGGCCGCCGACACGAGGTATGACTTGAAGGGAGGTTCCTGCATAATCGGAATCCGCATCAGCAGGAGCATGATTCGTGATGGTTAGGGGTGCCGTCGTGCGGGATTTGTCACGCCTGGTGTGCTGCAGCTACATGCGTCTGAGCCTGCTGACTCCCGTGCTCGTTTTCCATGGAGTGCCAGTGCGGCAAGCTCAAAACATCATCTGGTGATGCGTCGAGTGCGGGTTCATGACGAGAGAGCGAGGTAAAGAAATGCTTGCAGGTTCGCAGGTGCAGTTCACGGGTGAGTTGGGACAGGCGCATATCCAGTTATCAAGACTTGACCCACCACAACCCCCGAACGTGAGCCTCACCAGGATACCCTCTGAGGAATGTTTGTGTTTACTTGGCAAAAGCTTGACTGCTGCCTCGCCGGGTGCACTGTGGCTTGGAACTGGCGAGAGTAGGACTCTCCGGGAAGGACGCCTGGGGCAGCTGCAGGTACTCCAAAATGCCTCCAAAATGAACTCCTCCTCGGCCGTGTCTGTGAAGGTCGCCTCCGGGCACTGACGCTGCCGATGGCGATCGGCTTGGTGCACCTTTTTGAGGCCTTCAGAGCTCTCTGCTGTATGTCAGATTGTGTGAAGACTGCCCATGCGTGCGGAAAGGCCGGGCTGCTCCTCATGAATGCTGCCGCCATTCTGAACGAGAAGCGATTCCTGCCCTTGGCCTCGGACGACATGAATGAGCTTCCTGATTGGGGAGCACCGGATTAGTTTTGAGCTGCCTCGGGCTCACTCAGCAATTCGCAGTGTCGTAAACAATCGGAGTTGCATCCTAGCTTCAAGTGCACATTCCATTAGGCTCCTGCCAAGAAAGCGTAGTTGAGCATATTGTTGCGGCTTCAATTTGTCAAGTCGACTTAGTTGTGAAGGCTTGTCCATGTGAGCCATGGGCAACATTTGCCAGTGTTTTGGAGCAAGAGAAAAAGATCCATCCTGGCTTCCGGACTACGCCACCGGTGGCAACACACAGCATGGGTACTCGCTCGCCAAGAACGACAGGCAACGGATGGAAGATGGCATCCTAATCCATGACAACGTCGCAGGAAATGCCTGCTTTGCAGTCTTCGACGGGCACGGAGGCGAGCAGGCCACCCTGCTGGCCAAGCAATTTCTTCCAGAGCAGCTTGGGCATCACCTGCAACAAGACTGTAGCAAGGAAGAAGCAGCTCATCAAGCCTTCGCTGCCGTGGACGAGCTTATGCAGACCCAACTGGCGGAGGAGGCCAAGCTGTTTGCATCGGGCACATCGTCCGGTACGGTGGCATGCATTGCGCTGCTGAAAGAGGATCAGCTCGTGCTTTTGAACCTCGGAGATTGTCGAGCAGTCTTATGTGAAAACGGGAAGGTGAGCACTACAACAACGGATCACAATCCGGAGAAAAACAAGTTCGAAAAACAGCGTTTGGAGGATATCGGTGTAAACGTCGAGGGGGGATATGTTGACGGCAAAGTCCAAGTTTCTCGCGCTTTTGGAGATGTTGCCGGTGAAACCGGGAAGAAAGTGCCCGGGCTTATTTGCACGCCCGAAGTCTTCGTCGTGAACGTCAAAGACACCACAGAGTTTGTACTTCTTGCCACTGATGGCATTTGGGATGGGCTGCGAGATCAGACAGCAATCACGACAGCCCGCAAAGTGCTCCGGGAGACCAGGTCCCCAGAAGCTGCTGCACAAGCAGTTGTGGAAGCGGCCGCAAATGTCACCAAGGCCGATAATTCGGCCGTCGTTGTTGTAGCCCTGAACATCCCTGAGCCCCTGCCAAAACGCGAGCCGGGGCAGCGCCGTCTGTTTGCTCCCAAGAAGGACTGAGGCTGGGGACTTTGCCTCTGCATGTTCCGACGAAGTCTCGCAGGTGAATGCCTGCTGTTCCACGAGACCTCGACGGAACCATATGCAATTGCGCATTTGAAGGCGCTCGATTTGAAAATTGGTACGCCAGTTCAACCCCATGCTATATTGCTCAAGCGGGCTGATACACAAGCCTGACTTTCTGCTTTGATTGCACATGTCTTCAATCTTCCGTTTGGCCAAGGCGGAAATACGGCCTGGACTCTGCAGTCGTGGGAGAGAACCTGGGGCCCAAGAACCAGGCCCAAAGCCGCCAAAGCCGACTTGGAAGCAGAGTTTACCCACGCAGGTGGCCAGCTTCCTCCACGCCATGCGAACATTTATGCGGTACCCCCTGGTGGCGATGAACGTGCTTGTCGACTCCTGAGCCGCAGAGGCCAAGGATGGAATCAGAGACTTTGCTTGCCTTTGTTGCAGGTAATCATCTACGAGATGATACTTGGGCCCCGGCCTCAAAGGGCTGCGGTTGGGCATCCGCTACAGTAGAAGGGCAAAATTTAAAGGGGCCACGATCTACGCGGATGTAGGTCCCAAACAATCTGCACCCTAGGCCCTAGGCCTGAGGAGTTAGGTCAGTGCTTGACTTTTTCCGCACCATCGCTCCGCAATGGAATCTGTGATGAGTGGAGCTGAGGTAACATTTGCTGGTTGGGGCCGGGCTTCCCCGTCGAGAGCGCTCTCAAGGCCAGTGCTGGTCCACACTGGACACTTCTCTCACTCTCACTGGCCAGCAACACCCGGCGATTTTCTTAACACCCACCGTGCACGCATGAAATGAGAATGCCTCGAAGGTTGCGAAGCACCCTCCCTCCACCGGACGCGACTGGGGCTGCTGTGAGCCAGCCCTTTTGGGTTAGTTGCACTAGGCGTGTAGTATGCAGCTTGACGGGATTGTGAGGTTAGGTTGCCCTCTTGTGCGAGCAGCTCATGAGATAATCATTCCACGATAGACGAGTGACCTCAGGATCTTGGATCGCCTTAGATGGACCGTTTCACGGCACGTCAAGCGCTTTGTTTTGATGCGCGCTGTCTCGGTTGAAGCTCGCAAGTGCAGCGTTGAGCCGAGGAATTGCGGCCTTTGCAACGTAGAGTCGTATGAGCCGTCCACACGGCAAACACAGGGAGGAAGTCTAAGAACGCATGCCGCATACCAGGGTCATGAAGACCTTCAGCATACGTAGAGGTTTCTCTGAGTATCTGCTCTGTCGGAGATTTCGTGTGCTGAAAAAGGACAGACACTCCTTACGCCTTGTTCCAGCATAAGTTCAAGATTCTAAGTATTCTAAGATGCTGAGGACTGTTCATTGCTGCCCTTCTGGGCCCTCGCCGTTCAATGCTCAGAGTCGCGAATTGCCAGATCTGCCTAACCGATCTCAAGTCTCTTCACTCTCACCTTTCCCTGACTTGGGGTGCGAAGCCCGCGCCTTGCAGCTTTCAGTCATGACAAGCCGCCCCATCCCCCAAGTGTTTCCAGAAGCCATGCCGGCACCTGGAACTTCGACGACAGATGTGAAGCAGCCGCAGCGCCACCCCCGGGCGCGAGCAGAACGGGAAGCCGGGGCCCAAATCTTGAAGTCGCGTCCACACTCAAACTGATCAAACTGCCAGAGCCAATACCCATCTGTCCCAGGACCTGAGCAGGTTCCTGGAGAAACCGCGAGTCAGGCACCAACAGGGCGAGTCAGGGAAGAAAGGAGAAGTGTCAGTGCTGAGAGTGTCGGGGTTCCACAGTGCGGCGGGGGGTGCAGGGCTGGGGGCTGGTTTCCCGACGGGGTACGGCGCCGGCGTGTAGATAAGGGAAGGGATGGAAGGGTTTCGGTGGGTGCAAGACTCCTCATGGGCGACGGTGTCAGCCTCCCCGGGACAGGCGAACTCGACACCAGGAGATCGACAGGAAGACAGGGAGAGGGAGCGAGAGATGGCAACAGTGTCGTGTCGTGTGGCCTTGTGTTGAGTGTTAAAGTTATGTTGTCATTGATGCGTACGAAGAAGCCGTCCAGAGCCACAGAAAAGTTGTTGGCGAGCAAGATACCTCCAGAAACGGGACAGCAGCGGTTGGCTTCATCGGATCACGACCAGCGCCTCATCGATTCGCAAACGCACCAAACCGAACAACCAGTACGCGAGAGATGCCGTTTCACAGCCCCCCGTCCAGCGCACCAACAGGTGTGAATTCCATCGGCTCGTGGGCCTTCAGACCGGGGTTTTCCCCCGGAAACAGAGACAGTGAAAAGATCAATAAAGATGAACAAAGATACATGTAGAGAGAAAGGGAGAAAACGACAAGCAGAGAGAAACACACAACAACTGCAGACAGAACGAAAGGCATAAAGAGCAACATACAGCCAGCATAAAGCAATCGAGAACCGAGCCGCGATCAGAAAACGACGCGCAACTGCCTGCTCGAGTTACATGCATAGCTACGCTCACGGAGGCCCCGGGGCTGAAATACACCACGCATGTAGCAGAGTCTATATGCCCACACATGCATGCACACATTCGTTCGTTCATTCATTCATTCAGTCAGTGAGTCAGGCATATCAATATCAGTCAAGCGCCGACCCCGGTTGCCTAGTCATGCCTGGTCTCCCCGTTGCCTGGTGCCTGAGACTGGCATCTCGGTGTCCTGACACAGCTGATCCCTGGCCGGGTTTGGTGTCCGACACCGCATGTTCCGCGACACCGCGCACACTCGCAGGTTCCTGGACATGGCTGCAGAGGCAACGGCAGGGTTCTTGCAGATACAGAGCGGCGGAGTGGAGTTCTTTTGGAGCCCTTTCATATTGAGACTGTCATCTCGCTACCAAAGCCATATCAAACAGCCCCGTCGAAGGCCCCCCCCTACAAAGAGTGAGAGTTATGACGAAGCACGTGACGTCTTGCGGGCGCTTGCAATGTGAGTCCAGATCCCTTAGAGCCACATGGGAGGACTTGAGTGACCTGTCAGATGCAGAGGACAGGGCTGAGGGTCTGAAGCCGGAGCTAGCAGAAGATGATTGTACAATCAGTTCCTGCCACTTCGGGCAGCTCGAGTTCGTCTCCGGTTGCCCAGGCTTCTGAGGACTGAAGCATTGTCATTCCTCACACTTTCAGCAACAGGAGCTGCTCTCGCCGCTGCCGGACAGCTCGCTGGAGACACAGTGCAAGGGCTAGAAAGAATTCGGGTCATCCTGGGGACGCTGGGAAGGACGCGTAGCCTTCAGTGTCAAGTCCTAGATTCGATCCGCTCGCGTCTTTATTGTGGAGTCAGAATGTGGAATCCGTAGTTCGTCTGTGAGATGCAAATGTCACCATTTACCCCGAAAAGGAGGCAGGACAGAGCCCTCCGTTTCTCGCAGCATTTAGGACAGAGTAGAAAAATCCCGCACAGGCATATTACGCATAGGAGTATGTCTATGTATGTTTGTGTATGCATCTGTGTGTGTGCATATACTAAATACACACATCCATCCCTCCATCCATCCAGCCATCTGCCTGCGCACCTACCTATCTGCCAGCCTGCCCACCTACCTACGGACCTACCCACCTAACCTCGCTATCCAGCTAGCTATCTGCATGTCCGTGTGTCTGTGCGTCTGCGTGTCCATCTACCCATGCTTCTATCACTGTCTGTCTATTTATCATTATCTGTTTATCTATCTATCTATCTATCTATCTACATATCTACCTATCTGTCTATCCATTTGCCAATCTATCTATCCATCTTTCGCGCTCTATTCTATGTATGTATCCAACTGTCTATCTATCTATCTATCTATCTCGGTGTCTATGTACCTATGTATCTATCTATCTACAGAGACGGAAGGACAGACGGACAGAGGTAGGTTAGTAGATGGATGGAGTATAGATAGACAAGCAAGACAGATAGATGATAGCATTCGGCGAGTGCAGCACCAACATACCCTACGTTTCGACTCAGGGGATGGGGCCTCGCTTGGGACCCCACCGAGGCTTGGGCATGAATCACGGATGATTGACGTAGCATGAAGTCGAGCCAGTCGCGGTTGCCTGACTGTTCATGGTTCACGTGGTTTTCGTATGCCGGGCCTGAGACTTCTATCGACAGACGCGATCCACCTTTAACGAAAAGCTACATGCCGTCTCGTCGCCCGGCTTTCCAGCATCACTGAGAACCGAGACGCGTTCTGAGGGTTCAAGAAGTTGTCGCGGCTCCATCGAATTCGTGAGACCGTGTAAGCTTTAAGAGCGGGCCAGCGGGACCGGCTGCCGCGCAAGGCCGCTCTCAGTGGCGGAACCCGGCCCCTCCGTGACGAGGAGGCCTGAACCTGAAGGTGTTGCTGGTGCCACGCCTGAACACCTATTTTGTTGGCACATGCGTGTGACTCTGCATGCCTTCGGGTGCCGTGAAAGTTGATGGGCCTGATGGATAAGCTCCGTAGGCTAATGGTGCTGATAGATCGCACATGAGAACACATGAGGAACACGGAGCAACGATGCTCAGGGTTCAGGCTGGCTCAGAAGATTGAGCGGTTTCAAGAATGGAGGCCATGGAAAGCTTCCTCGCACTGGAACATCTCCGACAGAAGCATGTGATTTTGACAGAGTCCGTGCATACCAGTGCGAGGTCTTATGCATGCTCGACGACTTCTTGTGCGCCCGTGGCCCGTGGGCAAAGCAGCTCTGGAGTCAGGTTGCTGCCACTGCAAGTCAGTTCAACTGCCAAGTCCCCAAAGGAACTCCTAAGCGTACACTCTTGACAGATGCTACACATGCCCGGCTCATGTTTCTCCAGGTATCAGGGAGAGCTTCCCGAGTTCACTCTTGCGCAGCTCAGCTAAGAAGCCGACTTTGTTCATGCCCGATTGTCTTTCCGCGTCCATTTTCCTTCGCAACTCCGTCGGCTTAGGCTGACTCAGTTTGATCGAGTTGCAGACAACCTGAAGGCTCAGGACGGATCTGCTGTGTCACAACCGCACAGCAGTCGCGTGCTGCAACCTGCGGTCGTCCAGGGTAGAAAGGAAGGTCCCAAAGAAGGTACCGAACAAGGCGGAGGTTTCCATGTTTCGTCGTGCCACAGGAGCTAGACAAGATCATTCTGCCCTGCCTCGAGGCTCTCGCAATATGACTGACCACCGCAAGCCTCACTCATTCACTTGTACTAAAGATGATGGATACTACGCACTACTACGCCATAGATGGCAGGTCAAGGGGAGTTGAACTCTAAAGCCGACTCAGAATGCAAGCACGAACGGTTTCTCTTGGTGAATCAAGATCATTGCCAAAACAGCACGGATACAGACTGTGCTTTGCTAGAGCTCTTGCTGTGCAAGGCACTTCTGTTCGAGGAAGCAAGCCTCGGCAATTGTGAAACACAGGTATATCAACAAAGCGATAAGGTCTGCGCGAGGGTCGTCTAGATAGCTCCATGCACTTGTATGCATGCATGCCGCTATAGTCTTTGACGATGCTTTGCCCTGCTTGTGGCTCAAACTAGAGCAGGGTTGACCGCGCAGCTGTGACATACATTGAATTGCAGAGTCAATGGGAAAGTTTGCACAAAGAGAGCTCTCCGCTTCGGTGGGGTAGCCGCTGGGCATGTGTGGGCATCCTTGCTTCAATTGCAAAACCGACTTAGTTGTGAAGGCTTGTCCGTGTGAGCCATGGGCAACATTTGCCAGTGTTTTGGAGCAAGAGAAAAAGATCCATCCTGGCTTCCGGACTACGCCACCGGTGGCAACACACAGCATGGGTACTCGCTCGCCAAGAACGACAGGCAACGGATGGAAGACGGCGTCCTGATCCATGACAACGTCGCAGGAAATGCCTGCTTTGCAGTCTTCGACGGGCACGGAGGCGAGCAGGCCACCCTGCTGGCCAAGCAATTTCTTCCAGAGCAGCTTGGGCATCACCTGCAACAAGACTGTAGCAAGGAAGAAGCAGCTCATCAAGCCTTCGCTGCCGTGGACGAGCTTATGCAGACCCAACTGGCGGAGGAGGCCAAGCTGTTTGCATCGGGCACATCGTCCGGTACGGTGGCATGCATTGCGCTGCTGAAAGAGGATCAGCTCGTGCTTTTGAACCTCGGAGATTGTCGAGCAGTCTTATGTGAAAACGGGAAGGTGAGCACTACAACAACGGATCACAATCCGGAGAAAAATGCTTTGGAATATCAGCGGTTGAAGGAGCTCGGCGTCAATGTGGAAGGTGGGTATGTGGATGGAAGGGTGCAGGTTTCACGCGCCTTTGGAGACGTCGTTGACAAGACCGGCAAGAAAATCCAAGGGCTGAGCTGCACGCCCGAGGTTACCATCATCAATGTGAAGCCAACAACGGAATTCGTAATCCTTGCCACAGATGGAGTCTGGGACGGACTGCGCGAGCAGTTAGCCGTCACCACGGCTCGCAAGGTTTTGCGAGAGACAAAATCCGCAGAAGGAGCTGCAAAAGCCGTGCTGGAGGCAGCAGGCAAGGCCACCAAGGCCGACAATGCGGCGGTTATTGTTGTGGGACTTAACGTACCAGAGCCACTCCCGAAACGGGATCCGGGCCAGAATCGCTTCCGGCTGAGCTCTAACACGGAGTCAAGCCTTTGAAGTTGTACGTGCATGTCGCTGACGTCTCGCAGGTTTGTTCCTGCTGTTCCAGGAGGCGTCGCCACCAAGCCACATTTGAAGGCATTTGAAGAAAAAGGCTCTTGCTTCTGCAGGGCAGTGAGATTGCAGCAAAGCTAGGGAATTTGCAGGGGTATCTCTCCGAGAAACATCCTGTTTCATCGGGCAGCTGGGATCCTGGAGGTCATGGAGTTTGCCAACCGATATCTTCGGATGGATGCATTGCGGGAAACCCGGCCTTCAAAAGAAAAAGGCTGGGAGGTCGGCCTTCAGATCGTACTTCGTTTGAGGGACCCAAGAATTCGACCCAGGCTTTGCCTTCTTCACATCTCTATGGGCTGCCTTCTTCCAGAGGCCAGGGTCCGCATTCCAGCTTGTTATTCTCGCTCTCTAAACATCCTTAAGCGGGTGCTGGTAGACATACCCAGATGTGAGGGGCAACACAAACAGACCCCGAGCTTCAAGAGTGCAGTGCCGTCTCTTCGCATGTCATTCAGTTCCGACAAGCCTGAGCACAGCGATCTCTTAGAGTTGAAGCGGCGTCTTGTGTAGCCTAGCGTGGGTGGGCGATCGCACACATGTCCCGAACAGGGCAAGCATCCGTTTTAAGAACAGAGCCCCGCGCCCAGGAGGACACCTAGCTTCCCTTCACACTTCTCGCTGTCATCCATCCTTGGCAGGCGCCTGTGGAGCAGCTGGGACCTGCCATGCGCAGCAACGCAGCACTCCTGGCCCTGGCCTCATGTATTGTCGAGTTCAGTGCATTCTGCAGGAGCTTACAAGCTGTCGATGCCCATATTGACCAAGTTGGAAGTGTGAGTGTGAAAGGGGCTGTCGTGTTATGGTGCCTCTGATGTTGTGGACAGCTTATACCCGTACTACAATCCACGCTTTCCCGGGCACTGCAACGTTCCACGTTGCGCTACCCCCTTCCACCGCCTGTTGAACTGCAGCCGTTTGAGCTCTAGCTTTGTTGCCACAGCCGGACTTTCGCTGCAGCTGGGAGCTGAGGCTTCATTGAGGCCCTCTACTAAGAGCTTGGAAAAAGTTGGAACATCGGGCCCTTCAGGCCATGGTGAAGGTGACCGTGGGCAAAGCAGAAGACCCTTGGTGCGAGATCGAGCTCACAGAGGAGGACGTCGAGGACTGATGATTTCTGGACTCGAAGGCTTCGGCTTCAGGTTTTTTGGTGCTTGCAGGGCTTGGCTACTGCGTGAAGGCTGTCCAGCCTCTCAGGCTCTCATCATTCTGTGGAAGTTGGGTGCATGAAGGGAGTTTCCGACGTGATTTCGTGTTCGATGGCTTTTCGGAGCACTTGGGCGCTCTGATTCTGTCATCATCGGCCTGCCCACGTTGCGAGAGACAGTCTTCCACGAGCAGGGCAGGATGCCCGAATGCCCGCTGTGAGAGTGTGTGCGGAGTTGGGACCATCCCAGCTTTGTTCCTGTTGAAGCCAACCAAATCGTGTTTCAACGAAACAGACAGGACTGGAAAAAAGGCGTCGACATCACAGAGGAGAAGCTCAAAGAGGTGCAACTGCTGTCAGCACACCGGCAGGTTCATGGCTAGCTGCTTGCTAGTTGGGTAAGGCAAGTCGGGAGATCCATGAACCTACAAGTAGGTAACCCTAGCCTGTGACCCTAAGACCGCCACTGCTCACTCCCTGTCAGGTCATTCAGCTGCCCCCAATCACACTTGACAACTGCCATGAGCGAGAGGACGGCGACCTGCAGCGCCTCGCCTGAAATCTTGTGGATTTAGACACCTGTATAGATCAGCCAACGAGCCAAAGGAGCACAGACCAAGCCCATGCATGTGTACACACACATATATGTGTGTGTATATGTATGTATGTATATACGTAGGTATGTAGGTATGTGTGTATGTGTGTATGTAGGTATGTATCTGCACATACGCACAGACATGCGCAGTGTGAACACGTGCTATGCATGCGATGTATGCGAGTTCTGCTCTGCATGCGATTTATGCTCTGCATGCCGTGCCGTGCTGTCGGGTGCTATGGGGCGCTATGCCATGCTGTGATGCTTCGCTATGCCGCGATTGCGCCAACGTGTTGTTATTCTACTGTGCTTTTTGTCTATTACGCGACTGTGCCATTGCGCCATGCTATGACAGATTCGTTGTCTTTTCCTCGGCCACGGAGCCCGGGGTGGCTGCTTCTGCGACGGTGGATCTGTGGCTCTGTTCTGAAAGTTCTGAAAGACTGGCGGCGAATCTTGTACATATGCGAGTTCTCGTGCTAATCTCAGGAGGTGCTGAGTCCTCGGCCCTAAACGGTCAAACCCCGAAATCCCCAGTTTCGTGATCAGTCCTTTGTTGCAACTTGGGTTGTCCAGCTTCCGCATCTTGTGGTGTTGGATGTGAGGTTGCTTCTCTCCAGGTTTCGCCAAATGTCCCAGACAAGAGAACCCGATGTCAAGCTCCTTTCAGGTGGGATGAGATCACTTTCGAAGAAGAGGTAAATGGAAAGTATTGGTGTCTTGGCACAGATTTGGCCTGGCTTCTGCATTCTCCGCCTGCTTGTGATCTAATGACTCCAACTAGGGAACCAATGCCATCAGCATACAGTTGAAGCCAGATTCGACTGGCAAGACGATGAATGACGGATAATGATGGCAACTTGTATCAGCCACTGCTTGCAGTTGTCGTGACTGTTGTGTGTCTGGGCATGCTAAGCTAGTCTTCTGGCCTGCGACAAGCCCCTTCAGTTTAGGCATGCCGTCATCATGTCGTTGCATCGTATTCGAGAAGACTTCGTAAAGAAGCAGCATCTTGGCATGCAGTGGTCTCATTCGGAATTCGGACGTCTACTGTGTGCATAACTGCTGCATGTGGTGGAATAGCCAAGTCTTGTTTGTAGGCGCAAGATGAAGCACCTGGACTGGTACATGACGATGAAGAAGACAAGTGACAAGAGGAATGCCAAGTATTATGCCTCCTGGCAGCTCTTGCATGTGAAGACCTGTTACTTCGGTGTCACCTGCTCTGCGGATGTGGGAGGGCTTCTGAACATCCGAGGTTTAGACTACACACCCTGGGCCGCGCTGGCCTAGAACAAAGCACGCCAGCCGCAAAACATCGTCTGGAGTTGGACGTGACCTCTGCTTTGGATCCGAGGTGAGTTCCAGAGACTGCTGAAAGGGCTTAGATTCCACCAAAGTGTGGGAGCATCTTCCAGTGAGTTCAATATGTCCACTTCGGTTATGGCTTTGTTTTCTATGTCTCTATCAGTCAACCGCAGAACCCAATGCTTCCAGCTTTGTGATAGTAGATTGTGGAGGGAGAGGGTTTCGTGCAGTCGGCAGCACGATAAAGATGCATGTGCTTTGCATTAGCATTCGGATGCCAGATCACCTGGTCCAGTGGAATCGCGCCCTCGTGCAGCAATCCTGTCCCGGGAGGGGTTGTCTGGACTATGTCGGATTGCGAAGCCCCTGGGCTCAGAGTACCTCGCTCGCCCGGAGAAAGCCACGTCGCCCGTCACTCGACACGATTGGGAGAGTTCAGTCTTGACCCGGCTGATCTTCGCACGAATGGAGCGAGAGCCCAGAAGTCTGAAGCTCTGCTGAGGGCATGGTGAAAGTGACTGTGGGAAAAGCCGAAGACCCCTGGTGCGAGATCGAACTCACAGAGGAGGATGTGGAGGACAGGGGAGATGCTTGGAAAGTGTGCAGAGGCCGCTAGAGGCTTGAAACGTATTGGAGACTGCAAGGACTGGAAGAAGGGCGTAGACATCACCGAGGAGAAGCTGAAGGAGGCGCACTTGTTCATATTGGTAGCTGGAACAGATACCATGCGGTGCCGCTCCTGCCACCGCCACAGCCGACACTGCCAGTGCAACACTGCCAGCGCAACACTGCCAGTGCAACTGCCGGTGCCAGTGCTGGTGCTTCTGCTGGGGCTGCTACTACTACTGCTACTATCGTACCACACTACCACCACTACAACCACTACAAACGCTGGCACTAGTACCAGCACCGACACCGGCACTGGCACTAGCACTAGCACTAGAAGGAGCCCTAACGCCTAGCACTAGCACTAGCATCGGCACCGGCACCAGCACCAGCAGCACTACCACCACCACCACCACCACCGCCACCACCACCACTACTCCTCCTCCTCCTGCTCCTCCTCCTGCTCCTGCTCCTGCTCCTGCGCCTGCTCCTACTATTCCTACTGCTGCTGCAAGTCGTACCTGATGCCATTTCGGTAGGCTTCTCGGTACAATCGGCTGGAGCATGCGTGAAGAACGATTATCAGTCTAGATGTCAATGGTAGTGCTGACGAGAGAAACAGTTTCTCCGTTCTCTTCCCTGCATGCTGGCTTAGGTCGTTTGTCGCTTTGCGCAACCATTCTGCGTGCCAGTAAATGATCAGGGGAAGAAAGCTACCCGACTCCACTTGATTGGCACTGCATCTCAGGTCATCCAGTTGCCACCCATCACCCTCGACAACTGCCATGAGCGTGAGGACGGTGATCTGCAGTCTCTCAGCCGCACATTGGGGATGGCGACCTGGTACATCCTGGGACCTGGAGTGTGCACAAGCAACATCGCATGGGAGAGATGCTACTCTCATCCAAAAGTTTCTTACGCATGCAACTGCATTTACGACATATATACATGCATACGGACATATGTGCGTACGTACATACATAAGCGCATGGATGGATCGAGAGACAGATAGACTGATAGGTAGACTGGTAGACAGATGAGCAGGTAGACAGAGAGACAAGTGGATAGATCGACCGATAGATAGACAGGTAGATAGGTGGATCGATAGATGGATAGGCAGGCAGGCAGGTAGTTGGGTAGCTGGGTAGCACACAACAGCCGCTTGCGTGTTTTCTATGTGGCTTCGAGCTGCCAGGTGGGACGAAATCACTTTCGAAGAAGAGGTGAACGGAAAGTACTGGTGCCTCCGCAGCGATCATGCAGCATGTCATCGAGGTTGATGCCTTTGCCTTGTGCCAAGGCATGCGGTCATCATGGCCCTGCATCGCATCCGCGAAGACTTCGTCAAGAAGCAGTGGCTCTGCTGTATAGTTTGCTGTTCCGTAGGTTCTGGGCAGTCGAATCAAACCAACTGCAAGAGATCTGAAAGACCCAATTTACCAAGGGACTGAGCAGCTTTGTCCAGGGATTGCACGGTTAGTCTTTCTGGTTGGGTGGTCCTTTGCCTCATCATCAGTTCTCCCAGTGGCCCTAACATCCTGTCCTGGGATAAGTTGCGCGTCGATGCAGAGACTTGATATCTCCAGGCGGAAGATGAAGCATTTGGACTGGTACATGACCATGAAGAAGACCAGTGACAAGCGAAATGCCAAGTACTACGCAGCTTGCCTGGAAGGTGCAGCATGTCCCTGGTTGGAGTGAGCTGTGCTGTCTTGTCTGATGGCTTGAAACAGTGTCACGCTAAGGTTTGAGCCGGAACTGCTGAGATTCGAGGCATCAAAGGGGCCGAACTCCATGCTTCTTCGGCGTGACGCTGTCGGGTATGTAATTCTGCGGAGAGGGGCAGGGGATATCAGATGCTAGGACTGACTCGCTTGCTTGCTGCATCAGGTTGTAGCCATTGCCCACGCGTGTGAGCAGACTGTGTTTTGCAAGTTTCACATACTGGCTTGAGCTTTCTATGCTACCCCCGAGTAATGCATCAAACCAAGCAAGAACTGAGAAGCGCTCTCCGAAGACGACATGCGACATGGCTCAGCCAGTGCAAGAGACGTTGCAAGCCCCGCGCAGAGGATAGTTGCCAGTCTGGAAACGTAGGTGGATCGGTTTAGTTTTGCGTTGGGGCCAATGCTCTCACCGGATCTCTAAGCTTCTAGGAAAGTGTTGAGACGGGCAGGATAGCTTAAGCATCGCAGCTCCGGCAACCGCAGTACGTTCATGCTGAAACACATCTATTGTTCGAGTTTTGCCGTTGCAGTCTTCCTTTGTCACCAGACACCTATGAAGTAGCGCGGGCAAAAAGTGGCACACGGCTTGATGTCTGTAGAGCAGCTTCACACGCTGCTGCTCGTTTCTCAAGCCTGACCCAAATGACCCAGAGCTGCCAAGGCACAATATGGAGTCATTCTGCCTCTTGTGGGGGCCCCGGTTGTGTTTCGTCCAGCTTTGGGTTCCCGGGCAACTTGTCACAAATCGCGATCGAAGTGTCACGCACCTTTGCACAAGTTGAACGTGAGCCACTGCTACGGACTTTTCGAAGAGCTTTGCGTTCTGCTTGCTATGCTTGGCACGGAGTAGGGGAGGATCGTCATGGAATGCAACCGGTTTCACAGCAAAGCTGCGGAAGCCGCGGCACCGCCACGTGCGTTGGCCGAGCTTCCAGGACCACCAAGCCGTCCTAGCCGCATCCTATTTAACCCGAACGTAAGAAGCCCATAGTGGTACCGACCTCATTACTACACGCGAATCTACCCCGCGTCAGCCGTACAACCTAAGGACTTAAACGTTGAATGTGAAGCAGAATCTTTGGCTGTTCACGCGCGGTCGCCATAATACTAGTAGTAAGTAGTATTTTTTACCAGCGGCAGAAAAGTTCTTGCTCCCTGGCGGTTCTGTTGCAGAGAGCTGAGGTCCGAGCCCTGGAGAACTGCGCTCCCGCCGAGGTACAGGCTTCCAACGAGGCGATGCAGAGCGAACCGGGGTCAAAACAGTCCTCAGAGTCCTCAGCCATCTGCGAATGCAGCATGTTGGTTCAAGCACCAGTGCAGTCTGGCACACTCTCTGGTGTACTCGCCCAGAGACGACCTGCGCCTCCTTTGCGTGCTCCTCGTGTCCATGCTATTCTTGCTGTAAATCGCCGACCGAGCCTTCGGATCTGTGCTCGCTCTGGCATGAGTGAAGGCGCCAGGCTCGAAGAGCCTTCAGCCGCTGGAAACCTGAAGCGACCGGCCATTCTGGGATGCCTCGCCTGTGTCATCACTGACGTGCGGGGGCTTTGGCTAGAGATCTGGAGCTTTGCGAAGCGCTCCGCCGCAGCCTGCGAGTCGGGCCGGACCCCGTGGATCCAAGCCGCCTTCACAGGCTGGTCAGTCAGGCTTAAATACAAAGCGCTAACCCTGCTCCAAAACCTGTCCTGCCGCTGAGACGCCGTCGGAGGCCTGGCGACCGGCACCTTGGCTGCCGTGGTCGCGGTGGCTGCGGCTAGTCGGCCAGTGGCAGCACCTCTGGCAGGGAGCTACTGGCTCACGCGCGTGCTGTCGACGCTTTTCTCAAGTCTTGGAGCACTAGCATCCTCGCCAGTGATGACTGCGCAGTCTTACCGTGATGTGCTACAATCAGGTTATAGTAGAAGCAGCAGCACTAACTGGAGCATGAGTGGCATTAGTGCTGGTGCTACTGGCGGTGGTGCTTGGAAGAGGAACTCGGTACATAGCAAGAACGGCAGCAGCAGCAATCGCTTTGACTATTTCGATTGTTCCAAGTCTCCGCTGGCTCTCGGCGATTTTCTTCATCGCCTTCCTGGTGGCTCTGAAGCAGAACAAGGCCTTGCCGTGAGTCAGGTGGCAATATGATCCAAAAGTACTCCACAGTGCTCTGCTTAGCCCCTGCTCTGTTCGGAAGGCTCTGATTGGTGACAACGGCATCCTCCCAGCGCGGCATTTGCTGAGACGGGTGGACGTCTCCGTCGCCCGAACTGCTGGGAACTGGCAGGAGCTGAGCTTTCACGGCAAGGTGGGCGACAAGCTTCAGGGTTAGCGGTTACCGGTCCCATAACACGCACAGAGGTCGCTGAAGCGCCCCTCATGCAGGTGCGCTGCTTCGTCTTGCGTGCAGAGCGGCTGCCCAGTCTGCTGTGGTTTGCTGGTGCCAGGCCAGTTTGAGCGTCGCAGGTTCGTCTTTTTGCGGTTCCAGAAAGCTTATCCTTTGAAACGCACTGGTTCGCCAACAACTCCTAACTTGGTAACACTTCGTTCTGGGAGCACCTGAAGGGACCCGAATCGGGCCGCCTCGTCCTTGCTTCAGGTTTCCCGGAGAGGCTGAAGCGTGTGTGCGGTAGACTCGCTTAAGTTG